GATGGAGAATTTCATCAAGAGGTGAAATCAGTTAGAGAACCATTGGAAAACCTACAGGGAGTACTAAACAGCTATTTCGTCTCAGTCTGGGCCTCTTCATCAGTATGCACCCACCAATGGGGTTCGAACTCAGGACCTTCTGGTTATAAGGCGAGCTAGCTCGTAAACCACTAAGCCACTGGGACCCGATCCACTAATGGCCAGCCCATGAATTCTAACTTCTGCCAATTCACAACTTAGCGCGACTACTTCGCAATGTCTTTTCCGACGAGTAACTGTCCTCACTCACCTTTGGGCTATTGGATCGGGACCCAGTGGCTTAGTGGTCTATGAGCTTGCCTTGTCACCAGAAGGTTCGAACCCTGTCGATGGGTGCGTACTGCTGAAGAGTCCCGAACTAGGACTATATGGACGGCTGTTCAGTACTCCCTTCCTGTTTTCCAATGGTTTTCTACCTGATATCGGCTCATGATGAAATCCTCCAAACGATAAACGGATTAATAAAGCAGTTCAGGAAAAAACGACAAAAAGTACAAGCCGTTTTTCACAACACCGTCTAAATCTTTCGATTACTTTACAATTAGAAAATACTACATAGTTGTTTCTTAGAAATTAGGTACAATCCTCATGAATAGTAAACTCCATTCTGACTCTGTGATAAGAAAATAAAACTGAAAATTTTCTGAACTTTTGAGGGCTAAGATTAGACTGATATATTTTATGTGTAGTAAATCCTGCAAGTCTCTTTGGTGATGATTTCTGACCTACAACTTTTCAGAGATGGAACACTGGAATTACAACGGGTTCGCCAGGTATCTCGATCGCCAGTGGGGGTGAAGAGACCTGAACTGGGGTGAAACAGCTGTGTAGTAAGTACTCTCGTGTTTTCTAACTTACGTCAGTTCACCACCTAACTTGAAAGAAATCAAGTGCATTCATCAGTGCACTCAAGTGCATTTCTCAGTCGGTGTTCAGACTTGAAAAGTTATTATTATGAAAACCAGTAACACGTTACAGTACAGACAGTTCACTTAACTTTTATATAACTTAACAAGAACTATTTGCATTACATAAAGATTTAGACAATATAAAGTCGTATCAATTATGAACATGTCACTAGGAACTTCAATTGGATACTAGGTAACAATTAGTGTCAGGAGTCTAAATCTCTGGTCGGTGTAGACTGAATTCTATCAATAAAGTTTGCAATGTGGCCACCATGCTAGGTGACACGCCACCATGGTGCACTCTGTACTGTTTTCTTGTTCTGCAATCGGCAGAAAGCCTTCGACCATCTAGGTCCCGTATTTGTTGGCACTCACCAGTCAGCAAGACGTATCTGCAATCACCTTGAAGGAACTCTTATGTCCCTTCTGAGACTCGAACCGGCATCATCCAGCGTTGTAGTCAGAGACGCTACCACTGAGCTGTTCGGGCTCCTGATTGATCTCTTGTGTATTAGAAACTTTGATTGCGTAGTAGGCAGTAACTAGTGTCATGCATCCAGTCCTTTGTTTGGTGCAGACTGGCATCCTACCGATTGCCTCCAACCACCTAATACTGCCAGGAAGCAGGGACTATCTTATCTCCTGAAATTAAGACAGTACTCATATTAATATAAGCAATACAAGAGCATAATTCCGTCTCAGAATAATTTTATTCGATGAGAAACATAGCTGTGTTGCTCATTCGCATATCTCCAAATCTTCTTTTATATGAATAACTTCATTATTTCTTGTCCTTGAATTTTATTTGATATTGATTGGTGTTGCGTGATTCCTATTGCGTGTGTTATGGGTGTAGATTCAATGAACAAGCATTTAGTGACCAACCTCTCTCCCTCCAACTATCTACATTACTGATGGCCTGGTCTCCATCATTATGTATTACATATAATTCCTCTTGATCACTTTGTCTTCATTCTACTGGAATATGACTTCTCATAGTGTTTTCTACTCTGACGAGTATTCAGAATGCACACAACTAGCTGATTCACAAGATTCTACTAAACTTGAGAAACAAACGTGGGTATACAAGTTGCCACTGTCTGAGAAACAAAATCTAATTACTCGCAGTCTTCAATTATTCAGCTATTATTATGTGTTCTTGAATCTAGAAATGTGCACTCCTGTACCTTTTTCTAATTGGTCTTCAACCACTAGCAAATGTTGTACACTCCTCGAAGAAGGCAAAAAGAAAAAGAAATATCATAAGGGATTGCATTTAGCTTCAGATCAGACAGTTATGTGTGTCAATTACTATGTTATTTCAAGATCCTGGACAAACAGAAACTGTTATGCAATAAATCTCCGCTGAAAATTCGGTACATTACTCTTACTCGTCAGAATAAAGCTGTTATTGTTATTACTTTTTAAAATAGTGGATCTGTCACCGCCCAGCCCCCCCCCCTACCGTGTGTGTTCAGTGCTCGTAACGGGTCATCAGTAGATGAAACGATATTGATGTGTAATTCTCATGACATATAAAAATAATCTATATACGGAATTATACTACTACTCTCTACTCTGCACAATACCCAAATCTAATTCTTATATTAATAATACAAGAGCACTTGATAAAACTTACAAAAGTAGCGATTGTTAAATTCCCCTACTATTTTGAAAATAATTAGGAACGGATTCCAGAGGTTACAACATCACGTGAGGACTGCGGGGGGGGGGTGGGCGGAGGATTACACTTCATGAAGAGTATTCATACGCCTTTTGGCACCAGTCTGCACAAGCAAAGAATATAACCCATCAACCAGGTAAGTATTAAAGATCTTTACACTATCAGTGGCGCAGAGGTGGTCCGGAGGTTCGATCCCCGGCCGACGCACTCCTAAATTTCGCTTAACTGGTAATAAGCTCGGCAAAGAGGGAAGGTTGGGCATGGGACGTGCTACCGAAACTTTAAAGTTCTAGCTCGAAACCCTTTGTTCCACTGAGAACGTACAGAAATAAAAAAGTACTATTAATGATGACTGTGAAGCTAACCAACCAGTAGCCATCCTGTACTTGTAGTAAGCACAAATTAGCCGACTGAATCGACGTATTAACCAATGTGAAATACAGTCACAGATTAGATTATCATTCGAAGTAGGCAGATTAAAAAAACACGCTGACGAGACCCTTTACTTTACTTCGGCTATCTCCTACGGGAGGATGAGCCGGCTTCATGAACATGAGTTCATGAAGTTTCATGGGAATTTGGTACGAGTGATGTCCCCAGAATCGCTCGGCCTTTTGTTTGAGAGTGCAGCTCTAGCCTTTACACAACTAAGTGTGACCTACAAGGCAGTAGGAGTGGAGTAGGGAGTCCACTATCCATTGGCAGCCGGTGACCGGAGTTCGGTTCATACGCCTTTTTGAATGGGGCCAGACATCCAGGACATCCAACAAGCCCTTTGTCCATACGTCTGCCGGCGAGCTTCATACGCCAGTCGTTGGAGGTTTGGAATCAGGGTTTAGCCATCTCCCCTAGACTGTCATCCAATGATATTGCGCGCCAGACCCCTGAGTGGAACGCGATTGGAAACGACGCGACGAGTTGAGCATAATTCCGAAGGTGACATGGAGGAGATGAGAGCCTATGGGCAATTGTGGAGTCAGTTAAAGAGGACTGCAATGAACAGGACATAATGGAGGTGTGTCGATGAGGCCCAGTGTTCCACTCGGAACCCAAGGGAGAATACCAACAACAACAACAATAATCTATAAACCAAAAAAAACAAAGTTCGGCTATTTATCGTCAAATGGTGGATAGAATACCAAGACCAGTTGACGCTTAGACACGAACTGCTCCCAGAATCTTTAAGTCTAGGAATAAACACTCCTTAGATATACAGGAACAACACCCCCCCCGGCCCATCTCAAAACAACATACATAGATAAATAAATAAACAAATGAAGGCCGTCAACATACTTTTCTTTTTTTATCGTAGTAAAAAAAAAAGAAAGAGAGAACATACAACAACTTCCATATTCACATACATAATCAATCTCCAATGGGACCTAATTATCTTCGTATTTTCAAACTGCTCCTTAGTGTCATACACACACACACACACACACAGATATTCATCCAAAATCAGTAGGTAGAGAGTGAGATCGAGAGAGACAAGCTGACGAAATTTGTTTGTTTTGACGAAAAGTACAAAATACTGTTGTGAAGTGTGTCGGAAGCATTGAAGTGTTTTGCAAACTAAGCACACAATCATTATTAAGATGCATACATACACACACGCACACACACACACACAAACGACTGTCATGCTGGTGTCTTCTTCAGTCAGTTGATTGGTTATTTGATCGACTGATTGAATCATTGATTGAGCAGTTAGTGTTAGTCATTACCTAACTCAGTATACATCATATCATATCATAACATAACATAACATAACATAACATATCATAGTATGCTCGCGCTCATTAGAACATTGTTTTTTTGCATAACCTAAAGAAAATTCGTCATAGATTGTCTTTCATCGTCGTAACAAAGAATTGGAAGAAACAATTTTTTTCTAAAAAAAACAACAGAGAAGTGGAGGAGGAGGACGAGGAAGAAGAAGAAGAAGAGAAAACCGCGAGAGAAATCATCAGAGAGAGAAAAACACAAAACACATTATTAAGTGACATTGATTGCAAAGTCGTCAATTTACAAGGTGGTGACTGTGAAGGAGGTGGAGGGAAGTAAAGAAAAAGGAAAATAGATAGATAGATAGATATATGTACATGTGCAGTTCTGCTTCTTGGTTTATGTTGTAGTAGTAGTTGTTGTAGTATCTCTAGAAAACAACACACACACACAAGAAACAAGTGAATGCATGATGATTATTGATTGCATTAACAAAAAGAAATGCAATTCAATGCACAGTCTATCTGCCCGTCGTCTCAGTGTGTATTATATCAACCTGAAAGAAATATTGAATATTAAGAAGCACAAAAATTATGTGAAAAGACATAATATGTTGTCATTTATTTTTATTTACTTATTTCACCCTAAGGAGATGATGGATTGAGAAGAGTACAGCTAGTGGGTAGACGAACTTCAGAACTACCACTTACAGTTGTATCTTTCTTTGGTGGAGATTTTGAATGTTGTTGTTGTTGTTGTGGTTGTTTACTATTATTACCGACACTAGAAGCTGAATGAGGAGTTTTCTTCCGCCTGTTCAATGGTATAGTAGTAGTAGTAGTAGCAGTAGATGTAGGCGGGGGGGTTTCATTCAAGCCAACTTCACTACAACGACGGCTACAAGCAGTGGAGTTCGATGATGAATCGCGTTTTTTGTCGGCCAACTTACTCTTCCGCAGTAATTTATCCTCTGACTGACATTCAGCGCTTGATGATGAACCACCGCCGCCACCACGACTACTGCCGTTCATTTCAAGATTAGGCGAAGACAAACGATTCCCTGTTTGACAGATTGTAGAACTTGAGGCAGAGGAATGATTTGCTGAAGATGGATCAAGTGATGATAAAGGAACTTCACTCGGCAGACTGGATAAACAACAGCCAAAATCTGATGATGAAGGGATAGTTTCTTGTTCAAAGTTTGAACAATGTGCGTCAGTGGTAAGCTCCTCTGTTACAACATTGGAGTTAACCGTATTCTCAGTAGTTGCTGTATAATCGTTACCACTACCAGACGTAGCAACCACAAGGTCATCATCATCATCATGTGAATTATTTTCAATCACTGTAGCCTGCTGACAAGGCATAATATCACTTTCTGAAGAGTTGATAGAATTCATAGAACATAATTTTTGTCCTTCACCATTAGACCAATCCTGTGTATTACACGATGATACAACATTATCAGTTGTTATTAAATTTGATTGACATGTAGACGATGTTGGCGGTGGCGGTGGCGATGTGTTGTCAACTGTTGAATTAAACGACATTACTTGAAATTCAGAAGTCATTAGACTAACAGCAGTATTCAAATTTGTAGTTTCTGGCATAGAACATTGTAAATTTTGTACCTGACATGCAGCACTGGGTATATTGGAAGAAAGAATTAACTTTTGATGACTACTAACACCACTACTACCACTACTACTACTACTGCTGGCTGGATAATTTGCTGATACAGACCCCCCATTCGATGCGGCGGCTGCTACTGCTGCTCCTGCTAATGATGACGATGATGATGACGACACTGATTGATAGAGACCACCACTACTAATTGGTGCTGGTGGTGGTGGTGGTGTAGGCGTTACAACAACCATTTGAGAACTGTTTGCCACTGTGGGAACAGTCTAGAAGAAAATTGAAAAGCTTTGAATCAAATAAGGCTGGGGGAAAAGCAATATTAGAATAAACAAAAAGAAAAGTGTTGGCAAATGCAAACAAAATAACTACTTTCAACTACTGTTCCTGATTCTGATTATAACAACGCTTAAATCACCATCAACACCAATGAATATTTTGATCAAAGGGGTTATAAACCAGATTGAAATAGACTTGGGAAGCTGACACACACAGAGAGAGAACTGCTGATCTTCAGAGCAAATCAGCTACGACGTTGAATCCAAATAAAACTTGATAAATTACGCAGTGTTTGAAATTGTGATTTAATGACTACAAACAAGTCTGGGATGATGATGCATCGCAGATGCATACATAGCCTTACTACTAGGGTATGTTGAAAAAAGGTGAACTTGCTATGGAATTTTTGGACTAGATGATATTTTACTGAATATACCCTAGAAATATTTTTCTCTACCTTTCACCAATATGACTGACCGACTGACTAGTGGTTTCAACATAGAACTTTGCACAGAATTGCACCAATTCGAATTGCCCCACACTCCATGCAACACACGAAGGTAGACAAAAGGGAGAGAAAACAAAAAGATTCAAAAAGCAAAACAAAACAATAATAAGCAGAAATGTGAGGGGGGAGGGAGAATAGTAACATGGAAAAACAATAGGGTATAATGGATATTGGGGATCACAAAGAATCAGTGCACCTGCGCTAGCCACTGAGAACAACCTCGAGCCATACCACTGATTGTCTCCAGCCTTTATTGGTTCTTACCATTCCGAGGATCCTAACCAGACAGCCAGGAAGTCTACACTTCCGTACGTGGCTAGCTTTAAATAACTGCTAAAGATTTCATGGACTGATGTTAAGTCTTGGTTTGACCACCTGTAGCTCTTTTTCAACCAAACCCCATGTCAGCTAACATTGCCCATTTTCGAGGAAAGCGATAGCTAGGCATACGTGACACATTTCGTAATCATCTCAATCGATGTGACTTCACACCCTCCTTGACTGTCTTTCGCTCCTTACCTAACACTCTGCACCTAAAATCAATATTGCTCACCCTATTATACCGTCTGAAATGGGAGATAGAATGCACAAACCTATGATCAGAAACGGCTAGCCAGGCTTTTTGTCTCTTCCATTTTCAATGGCCATGTCTCCCACACTACCATAAAGGAGGACACAGCATACTGACGCGCAGTACACACTTCCTTTGATCGATAACCAGCCATATATCACGTCTTCGCCAGAGATGGAATGAGTTGGTGAATGCCACCCGAATCTTTTGTATCTGTGCTGAGATTTCATCAGCGATCAACCTGTTGGCGCCGGCTGAAGCAACTCTTCAAATAAGTGAAGTGGTTAACACGCTCCCCCGACCACTTCACCCCCTATCTGTAAGCTAGGTGGCGTGGCTTTAGGAGACTATCGATGGTGGTTTTTTGGCTTCCGTCGTTTTCAATGCACACAGAGTGAAGAGGAAGTGAAGAGCCATCAAGTAGAGGAGTTGCATTAGTAGAAGGAAGGCAAGATAATAGAGATGAAGATGGAGACAAAGATGAGTGAGGATTAGAGAGGTTTCGCGTGCACTTCGGATTGTGAGGGCGATTGTTACTTCCCAGCTGCCCACACCGTGGAAGTTGGGTGCGTGACCGCAGAGCCCAAGGGACAAATGCTTGAGGCCAGTCACACACGGTCTGTTTTTGTTTTTTCTTTTTCATTTGGTGTGTCTCAGTAGCATATTTATCCCTTCTGCCCTGTGACACGGCAGCAGGAAGCGCGGTCGTTGTTAATCCGGGCCCCGACCGATCCGGCATGATATTTTGTGATTTTGTTTGAGTCATGGTATTGGATTGGGTAGCTGCTTTTTGTCTAATCGCTATCCAAACAACCTTTCTGGCATAGTAGGACCTCAAGCGACATAAGTCTCAGCCAGTATAGCTTGTTGGGTCATTGCGGTGTTCAAGCCCGACCACCACGTCAAGGTAGCAGCTTTCGGTCGGGCTGTAAGCTAGGAGTCGACATAGTTTAGTGAAGTCCTGTAGCATCACCTTACATTTTGACAGAAGTAAATCGAATGCCAAACATTCGAAAACTGCAGCTCTTCAAGGTGTTCAGAAGGCTCTGATGACTCACTATGAATCATGTCAGAGATTAAAATACAACAAAGACATAAACGTATAGTAAACACCAAAATAAGAGACTATTTACAGGAATTTGTTGTGACTGTTGATGATGGACATAAGATAAACCTCCTTGATAACTGGAAGTCGTCGGTGACCCGTATGTTGTCAGTGACTGAAAAGTTCCATGTGCAGATTGAGAGGTGTTTCCATTTGCTGTATAGATGGGTGGATTGTTAGCAGAATGGCTTCCAGATTGAACATTAATACACGATTTAGAACGATTAAACGGTGAATCATTGTAACCGGCAACAACTGTAGCAGTCTGATTCGCCGGAAGTGCAGACGGTATTCCGACCAAGTTAGCACGATATGATGTAGTAGAGACATTTTGATGACAGTTACCTCCATTTGGAAATGATGCGTTACCAGATGGACCATTCTGTAGCAGAGCTGAAATGCAATACAATGCAATGACAAAAAGATGTGATTGGTTCGAGTGAATGGAAAATTGCGAAAATTAGGAAAAAGAGACAAGTTCACTATAAACTACTGTGATTACAATAAATCACAAACAAAACTCACCTGATGACAGCAAAACATTACGGTTTTGTGAAGAAACTCCTGATGAATGAAGATTCGGTACAACAACAGGAGTCTGCTGTAAAGGTTGCACTAATTGTGCAGTCAAAGGGAGCTGAGGATTGAAGGAAGGCTGTTGCGCCTGACCTAACGCTTGTAGGGAAGCAAGACCTGGTAAACCATGAGTTGTGCGATTTATATGACTACCGACAGGGATTTGTGGGTGCAAACCAGCGGCGGCATCAGCGGCAACCAAAGCTTGTGGATTAGAAGCAGCATTACGACGCTTGTGATCTGCTTTGTCAGCCAATTTGCAGGTTATCGGTTTATCACCACCTCGGACAATATGTTTTACCTCATTCATCTGTCCAACTGCTTTTTCAGCTTGTTCAGCAGTGGCAAACCGAACAAAACCAATCCCTGAGAAGCAAAGTAAACAAAAAAACACGAATGCAGCAGTTACGCTAATGCTTATAGGATGATTTTTGGTTTGAAACAGAAGAAACAGACAGATAAAAGACCCAATTTGGAAGTGATAAGTGCCTCTTTCAACCTTATGATATTAAATATAGCTACGGGATAACTGATTGCTCATTACAAAATGTTTTCCTCCTATTAAGCAATAGGAACTATATATGTACGAGACAGCATGACTAGACTGGGATTCCCATCGAGATGATGTAATAGGAGATTTAATATATGACATGAGAGCTGTCTGCTAGCCAAAATTGGTAGACAGCTATTTACGTCAATGTTTACGTCCCTAAATCTTGGTCATGAGAAAAGAACAAGAACAAAGACTAACTCAACAACCAATCACAGCAGACCTTGCGTGGGCGGATACGATTCGCAGATACATGGTCTGACCTTCTAAGAAACGGGCACAAAAAGGTGACAGATTGACTTTCAGAAAGAGAACAACCAATCAGAAAACGGCATTTCTCTGCTAACGATAACCTATAATAATAATGTACATAAAAGTATATAAATATCTGTTGATTTTCTCAATAAACGATATATTGCCTGGTCCTTGTCTTCTGTCGTTACACTACTACTATTATAGTGTACGTGTAAACTATATATTATGAAGAGGAAAAGAAAAACTCGGCAATTTTGTTTCACTGAACATACTACCCAAGTATAACCACATGGTACTTTAGTATTAACGAGAAAAATAGCAAGTAGTAGTATGATTGAGGACTAATTTTATTAAGAAAACATGCATAAATCGTGCATGAGTATGTGTAGACTTTTGTCGTGGCTAAAGCGGCTTAATGGTTGATAGACAGTCACAAATTAATACTATCTGATAACTGAAACAGTGCAACAGGTGCATTGAATATATTAAGAACTTAGGCAAGTTTTTAAGTGGAGAGGTTATTCCATTGATAAAACACAAAAACATGGTTTGTAAGGATTAGTTATGTTTTACGAATCCCAGTGGGTGCGTACTGCCGATGATTCCCAAACTAGGATGAAACAGCAGCTGTCCAGTACTCCCTGGTTTTCAATGGTTCTCTAGCTGATATTAATCCGTGATCAACTCGCAAAACAAAAACTTGGTACACACTATTGGCACCAAGAGATGCGGTACACAAAAACTTTCGTAGTTTCTCCAAGAACTAGGATACTGCCCGGACACCCAGACTAAAACACACGGCTGTGTTAGTGAGCCACCCTCCACCACCACAAGTCTTCGACTTCAAGTCTGATCCACAAGGTACTGAACCAGCGTCACGCACCACTGCGTTCCCATGGTTTCCAGTAATCAAAAAACAGGTTTATACACTATTCGATCCATTCGGATTCTCGAGCCCATGTACACTGTAAGTTTGGAATCAGGGTTTTTCGGGTACTCTAGGTAGACACCTATATATGTCTACACCAGTCAGTTAGGTTGTAAGCAACAGACGTTTGAATTCACCCTTTCACATTTTGTAAGGAACATCACCTCCAGCGTGAAGGCAGTGTGAATAGGACTTACCTACCTGGCATAGGCTAGTGTCACATGGCCATATGATGAGTGCATTTCGAGAAGAGGACCGAAGTATATCCCTACACGCTCAGCTGTACCAGGTTGTCGTCGTCTATGAAATACTTGAAAATCACCATTTACACAACTTTTCAATATGCAATAAACGTAGAAAGTGTCCGGAAAATAGAGTAATGTAAAGAACTGGGTCTCAGAGCCGCAAAATTTTAAATAACTCCCAGAATCGACAATACACTTTAGACAGAGGTTCAATACAACTTAGAAATTATTCTACCTAAAGATACATACAGTTTGCGGTAAGATGGAGAAACAAAAAGAAAGGGGAAGATTTTTCTTCGAAATGCCCCTCCCTACACCTACCTGTGAAGCCAGTAGACGTTTCAAGTAGTTTAACTGACGTAACATGTCCAAACTTTTGAAATAAATTCTCTAACATTTCTTTTGTAAAACCTTCACGTGGAAGATTGCGGACATAAACATTGAGAAGATCTTTTTCATTTTCATAAGCATATTTTACTGACAGCTTGCGTCCATTATTTTTAGCACATTCTAATATATGAGCTTTAGCCTTTTCAGCATCTTCTTCAGTTGCACAATCAATGAAGCCGGAACCTATGGAGATTAAAAAGAAAACAACAAAAAGAAAATAACAGCTTTATTATATATATGCGATGTTTTGTGAACACATTAAACTTCGCTGAAGCGTTAATTTTACAAACAGATGAGTGATAGGGTTAAATTGTTTAATAACACACGGTGAAAGTAATTGCTGATGACACAGTAAGAGAGATTTTCTAATCATTATTGGAACTAATTCTTTTTGTTTTTACTTTTTCCAGTCCCCATAGATGTATGTAGATTGGCACGATCCAGTACGTTCGGGAGTGGGTAGACTTCGATCATTCTTTTGGAATGTTCTCATGTGGCCACACTTTCATAGTCTACCTCTGCCAGGTAAGTGTAAGTCCTCTTCACACTGCCTTTACACGGCGGCTTCGGTTGTTTCCTCATAAGTGTGAAATGGCGAATCCGAATGTTTGGCACTTACAATTTGACTAACTGGTGGGCGTACAGGCGCCTACCTAGAGTGACTGGAAAACTCTAATTCCAAACTTATGTTGTGTACATGGGCTCCAAAACCAGAAAGGATCGAATGACGTATGGGCGTGTTTCGATCACCGGGAAACATGGGAACGCAGCTCATGACACTGTTTCACTGCCTTGTGAATCAGACTTGAAGTCGAAGACTAAGGGGGAGCCTCTTAAACACAACGACCTACTTTGGCATGGTTGTCATGCGGTATCCCAACCATCGTAAAAACTATGGATGCATCTGTTGGTGCCCATAATGAATTGAGATTGCATTTTATTATTAATAATTGTTATTATAACACGACTACAGATCACTGTTATTATTGCCTTTAGCATAAACTTCACACTCCCTGAAAAGTTATATTGGAATTTTTTGGTTCAAATATTTACATCAATGACTAACTATTTATTAATGACTTAATGAATTCCCTGTTGCGTCAAATGACTTACTGAAGATGGAGGATTCCATCATGAGCTGACATCAGTTAGAGAACCATTGGAAAATCTACAGGGAGTACTGGACAGCTGTTTTGTCAGTCATGATGAAATCCTTCATCCAATCAAACAAAATCCCTACAAAACCAATATTTAAAAACTTACTGAAGAATTTATTCGAATTTCTATAACACACACACATCTTGTTTATTTGAACCCAGTCACCCAGAACTATGAGTCAAACTTATTGTACGAAGGCTGATGTGATACTATCCGGTTGGTCAGGCTGAGGTGGGGCACGAACAGAGGACTCAGTGGCTTTAACTCGTGTGTTTAAGTCAAAAAGAGAGCCACATCTCTACACACACACATATCCTAGTTATTGTATTTGTTGCAGATCCACAGTCTATATCATCGAATATTTTTATATTGTTTACAATTCCAAACAAAACATTCATATTCCTCCGACTGAAAAATTACAAAGATACCTACAGATAAGGACTTCAAGTTTTTTCACTTTATTTCACTTTTAGAGATATCTAACTGCAGTTTGAATAGGATATGGAAGATTCACAGTTGATGTTGAAAACGTTTAGACTTATCCATACTGCTAAGTGTAAGAAATCATAATCATCGATTTTTTGTGTGCAAAAGAAACAAAGACACCACAACAGGACTTTCTAAATATCACATCCTAACAAGGTGCATGCAAAGGTATACAACCAACACTTTTATTTTCATTCATTTGTCAACTGGCTACACTTATTCTATTGTGTAAGGGGGTTTGTAGTATTACCTAGTTGGCCAAACCCCTAGGTAGGTGGTGGGGCGGGGTTCGAATCCATGGCCCTATATAGCCGCTAGATGAGTGAGTGCCTAGACCAGAGTAAGTCACAGCTCAACCAACAAGGCATCATATTAGATGAAAAACCGCAGTGTATACACAGCATTCAATGATTTCATTGAATTGAAAAGAAAATAGGTAACATAAACAATTTCAAATGAATACTAACCTCTACATTTCCCATTCACCACCATAGCTTTACATGATTTTGGTTGGACAATATTTTCAACAAGTGAGCGGACTGTATCATCGGTATCGGACTCACTTAGTCCACTGATATATAAGTTAGTTTTAGAAGTAACAGTTGACTTATTTCGACGACCATGCTAAAAACAAAATAACACAGCAACAATAAATAAAAATTGAGCTGTAGAAACAGTAAATCTGGGGAAAAACAACCTTGAACGTAGTTTTCTAATTTCAGTTTACCAGTAGGAGTAAATTACACAACGATATAACGAAGCTAACCCATGTGTGAATTTCGGTGACTTCAAATTGAAGTATGCGCTGAAGATGTCGCCTAGCAGAGCGATGAAAGCTTCGCAAATTAACTACCCAGTTCAGAGAACACAACCACATTAAAATCATCCACCTGAGCTACAAATCTTCTCCATCATATCTAAATCTTACGAGTGGAACAAGACAGATGTGCTCGGAAAATGGTGTCATAGGAAGTATTGATTAATGTTCGATTTTATAGCGAACTGACTAAGTTACGAGAACATAAAAAACTAATGAGTACTGGACAGCTTGTTTCGTCCTAGTCTGAGAATCTTTAGCAATACACACACATGACCCTAGCGGAGAGAGGGCTCGAGACGGGTTTGAAGTCAATCAAATCAATACTTGAAGATCAATGTATGCCTCTCAACATGATAAGCAAGAAAATCGATGTGAAACGTGGTGCATACGTGCATTAGTTTAATATCTATCATAAGTGACTGAACATGATTCCCCTCATTCATGACAATTATGGATTAATCCGATGCAGAAATAATCACCGTCAAGAGTCAGTAAGATGGGAGATTTAGCTAATTGATCTTTGGAACTCAGGACAATAATCCAACTAAAATATACTTGAAAATTGTATATCACCCAGAAAAGACAATAGCCAGTTGGATGTAACAAGCCAAACTCACCTGTGTTTGGGGAACAGCACCAAAATGTTTGAGTGAATCAAATGTGCGACAATGGGCTGTCATATTAACTGCCAATGGTGCTTGTGATGGTACATTTGCATAAGTTTGCTGTATGTGACCAAGATTACCATTGCCCATTGCTGTTACCAAAGAAGGTGATAGATACGATAATGACTGACCATAGGGTACAGGTGCATGAGGCAAAGGTAACTGTTGAGAAGCTGGCTGTTGAAAATGCTGCAAATGGAAAGATGGATTTATCGTTGCATTAGGGAATTGACGCCCAGCAATAGGCGGTTCCATAGACTGATGAGCACCGACAGAAAATGAATGAGGGAAAGGATAGGCCAGATTATGATGTGGATTATATCCACCAGGTGCTGATGGGATAGAGGAGCCAGGTAGAACATTAGAAGAAAGGGTTGGACGCACATAACCACCAGGAGTAAGTGCACTAATCAGCATACTGTTAGAATCCATAGGGCCAGAAATATGACGATCAATCGATATTGCTGAACCGTTGGCGATAGTTGGATGACCTGAAATCGCCGCAATGATAGGCCAGTGTGGCTGCATATCTAACTATGCGACGATCTCTAAAGAAATAAGAGAAATTTGTTACCATATAATAAGACGACAAGACATTAACAACAACTGTAGACAAATAAAGCCTGTACAAAAATTTCAACTAACCCAACAATGAAGTAACAATCAGGATGAAATGTTAACCTCCAACAAAGATGAATGCAGTATCGAATTTTTATAAAACAAAGAGTATATTCAAAACATTTTGCAATGACAAAGAAATAATGTCAGCACCTTCAGTGCCAGTTGATTACTGTCTACATAATTCGAAAACACCAATGGCAACTTGATGGGCTATCCTGTAAGATACTGTTATCGATCCTATAGCAAATCTAAGCTGCAACTCAATAAGAGGAAAGAAAACTGAAACCAGACTGGCTAAAGCTGGTTCATTTCGGCAGGTATTTTTCGAAAGGTAAGATGATAATAACTTGTTTAGCGCATATTTCACATCAAAAAGTCGGCTGTAATACGGAATAGGAAAGTTCGCATGTGAATAAGTAATTACAAGTGTTGAAAGTTAGTGACCCCATGAATAGTGGAGGAACTATCGGTAGGGGCATATCTAAACTAGGCGAAATAATCAGAATACAATGTTACAGTGTCAATACAATCGGAAACAGTTTGTAACTCATAATTAAATATACTAATTAACTGAAAGTCAACCTGTATGCATGTGACTCAACTCACTTGTAGACCAGTTGATGCGATTCACTGTGGGTATATTGAATTACAAGTAACGCTGAACAGAACCAGCAAAAGTTATTGATCAGACAGTCAAAGATCCACCATCTGATATAGTGAGCTTTGTTGTGTAGATCGTGTTGTACTATAAATAAAGTTACAACTACAGTAATCGGAAAATCAGCTTCCACTCATGTATATAAATGAAGAAAAAAATTGTGTGTGAATGACTTGATCTGATTATGAGCAGCAATAGTTTGTGCTCGAAACGTAGTCATCAGTTAATATTACTGTATAACACTGTGATTTATCAAAATAAAATCTTATGTATAATTGGAGTTATACTCTACCACACAGTGCCCAAGTTTTATACTTTCATCTATGGTGTTTACTATGAAGAATGATTGGATTTGCGTGTACAATTAAAGACAAAGTTTAACAGTTGGTAATGCCAGTCAGAGTGTTTCCTTTCCTCATTGTACTCGATTTATAGGAACAGATTACAAAGACACGACAGAAACCAAACAGTACATTTTTAAAAAGACAACCCATCGCATAGAACATCGAATTATATGCATACACTCTAGAGATAAGGATAATCCCAACCCAATATAGTCCGATCAATATGTAGGAATTATATGGTCAGTGTAAATCAACGACATAGTAAACACTACGGTGATAGAGCACTACATATATATATATATATACATACATATATATATATATATATATACACTAATATTCACAAATACTTACCGTAAAATAATTTTCCAAGAAACTGCCCTTTATATAATATGTATAAAAATTATCCTTCCGATTATTATAACAAGTCAGTTAATCGATTTGAGTTTGAATGATGGAAACTGAATTAGTCGCTCCCATATGTTGAAAATGAAGGTATGAAAAACGTATTCCATAAAAAAAAATCAATATCTGAAAATGAACAATGATTAAAAGATAGACTGATATCAATAGTAGTAACATTCATTAAATTGTATCAAATTAAGGAAGATTTAAAAACCAACAACCAATTGTTACGACAATATTCGATTTTAAAAACGTCTTCTCTCTTCATCTAATTCAGAAAACTCTCTGGAACAATACAGAAAAGAAGGAAGTCCAGAAAGTATATCTTCAACCTAATTTTCTACAGCTGCAAATTTGACTTAGTAGCGAAGTTTTAGATAACAATTACGCAATACAGTAACTGCTAGTCAAACAGACGTGACGTAATTTAATTGACTGGACTGAGTAGAACTCAACTAAAATTGAAACAATCAGGTTAAGGTCAGTGTCATAGAGTAATAACACACTAATCTTAACTTGACTCAATCTTAGTATTGCGTCATAAGAAAAAGGCACAAACAGCGAAGAAAATTTTCTTTTCGACGATTCATTTTCATGAGCTGTACAATCATAATTATAATTAACAAAGAAATCTTTAGACCAATCAGTTACTGGTAAATTTTGTCCTTGGAAAATTGTATTACATGATGTAAGGTGTAAGAAGGGATGACTAATTGTAAGTTAGAAAGGAGACAGAAGTTGGCATGACGTAATAAGTGTGAGATAGTGAATAATCAATAATCTCGTGTAAAATGGACAGGAACTAGTGGAAAGGCTATAAAGTGTTTTTTGTATAAAATATGTATGAAAAGCAATGTTCTTAATAAACAGTAATAGAGTGGTAATAAAATGTGGATGATGGGGACAAAATGATAATAAAAGTATTGATAAAATAAAATAATAATAGTAATAATAGTGAACTTACATAATAAAGGAAAGAAGCAAAATTGTGATAAGAACTTTACTCTGGCCATGGTAAGGCAAGAGAATGTATGTATCGCTTTTGTATGCAGAGGTCCGGTTTTAGATCTCGAATAGCTAATGCTTCAGCTATGTACAGATGGCGAATCCGATTGTACAGCTCATGAAAATGAATCGTCGAAAAGAAAATTTTCTTCGCTGTTTGTGCCTTTTTCTTATGACTCAATCTTAGTAGCAAAGTATCACAGTTACCACATGAAACTGATACAGTTTTTGCTATGTAGTCATTCGTTCTTATTTCTGTCTATTGTACTATCAATCTAATATTATTTAATTGAACTATGGACACTGGGTTCGAGTCTCGGTGGCAACATCATCACTCACTGGGGAATGCAGGTACACCCAGGTGACGAGTCCCAAGTAGGACGAAATGCGCATCCTGGATTCCACTGCTAGTCACCATCCACCAATTAAATATCAATCCAATACTTCACAATCAAGCATGTTCTCTGCCTTAAGCTCTAATCACAGCAGCGTTTCTCACGTTAGCTTAATAACATTTAACACAGCCACCATTTCCCACTCTAATATTTATATTCTTCGTTGAATTCAGAAGGGTCAAAACTCCAATAGTATTAGGATCATCTCATCGGATTTACATTTTGCTTGACATGATGAACGGCATTAGTGTAATTTGTAACATGCTTGACTAGAGAGCCTGAAAAAGTTGGTCTGGAATATACTGACATGTTTCTTATCTTAAGAAATATTTCAAATATATACACAAGACACTACTATACAACTTTTGCGTTATCTATTCCACGGGTTTCAGCTCAACTGAAGCTATGGCACATTTCTCGATTTTATTTCAACAGGTCGCACAACCTTTCGAATTGCACTTTATGTCAACCAAAAGCCTTGAGTTATCCTGTGAACAAATAAATCTAGAAAATCTATGTTGATCACTAGTGAAATCTAGTCGGCAATTGCTTGGTACACGAAGTCTGACTCACAAGACTGAAAAAAATGTAGTAAAACTCTGTAGAACTTTATGCGCTATACTAACAAAAATTTAATACAAGAATCTACAACACTATCTACTTTGGGCAGTACTAGGTGACTCAAAGAATAATTGCCACCCTGACGTGATTGAGTTTGCATATTGTGGTGATTCGATGACCTATGATAGCTGAAACGACTATTACGGAAGGTAACATGGAAAAGTTTGAGTGGATAACAGCAAGAGTAAGTGGTTTACATTATGGTGCCCGACTCATGGCAGAGCCATAATGCTCAAAAAGATACAGTAGTGAGATGTTTCGCTCGGATTACCAACAGGCCAACTCTGTTGCTTCTTCATTCTGCTTTACAGATTTCAAAACTCTGAATAGGCCGGGAATTATCGGCACCAAGTAGCTGCCCCTGGAGCTCTTGTTTTCTCCTACGTATAAGAAGACACCGAATTTCGCAGTGTGGTAAGATAAGAAGAAGTCAGTTCCTCCAAATCACCACCAATGGATTATGACAAGTCTAGGAAATAATTTTCCATGTTAGAACATAGCAACTGACGCTTTGATAGTTGGACAGGCAGCACTACCAAGTCTTATACTGGCATCTGGCATTCAGTAGAGGCTTAGATGTAGTTACAGTTTTCAGCTGGAGAGACTCACTTGGTGAAAGTTCTTTGCGAAACCGAAGTGCCGAACAGGACAGGAAAACTTGCTGTGACAAGTGAAAGTCCTGGAATTCTGTCAATACAATTGGCTTTTAGACTTTTGCTCACTACTGGTTACCAGGAGAATGAAGCTTCGACAATTAAGCAACCTCATGCTTTCGTTTGACATACGAATGATGTCAGTTGTACTCAAGCGGTAGAATTTAGAAAGCACCATGACATGAGGGGTAGCATGTATGAAACCATAAGCGACCAGCCTTAAAACATCTCGCAAAACTAGTTAGTAGAGCGCAAACCTGTTTAAAGTTCACGCATTCTGCTTTTTTGGCCTTCAGTTGAATGCTGAATTGGTGTGAATCCAAAGACCTCAAGAACGAATGTCTTAATCTGGCTGACAGTTCAAAAGTTTTGTAGTACCGCTTTAAGTTGCCACAAAAAAGTGCAGAAACATAATGATACTAGAGTGGAAGAACTCGACTGTGAGAATTATGCTGGCCTCAAACGTGTTCTAGTCAATAATTTCCCATTATCCCAGAAATCTCAATTTTGTCAGTTTTGTTTTCACAGGGCTAGTATCAGGTGACTAAACTGCACTGTAATCAGCAAAAGATTGACTCCAAAAGGTGACTTTACCTTACATGTATATCACATTACCTTGATTTAAATAGACTGGCTATACGAATTCACTGTAGTTACTTCAATGAGTAAACATATTTTATTAATAGGCGTCTGCTGAACCTACAGTGCTTATATTTTTTATTCCTTTGCGTTTCCAGTGGAACATAGGGCTTCAAGCTATAATTCTGAAGTATCCGAAGCAGTGTTCTCTTCACGGGACGGGTTGCCAGCCTCATGTCCAACCTTCCCTCTTTATCGGACTTACTACCGGCTAAACGAGGTAACGAAGTGCACCGGTCAAGGATCGAACTCCGGACCACTTTGGTGATGGGCCAATGTTCCACTAACGAACCACTGATGCACTCAGTGCTTATTGCTTTCGACTGTTTAAGACCACCATCGGTTGCCAGTCCACAAGGAGATTAATTTAATCCAAACTGTGCTTGAAGGCAACTAAATTACTTCCATAGTTGCAACGTTCAAGGAAACAGCTAAATATTTCTCACCTCAGATATAAAAGCAACGCGTCAAGAACGAAAGCGCATTTTGCCCAACTGTGGGAAAGCTGCATTAGAACCATGTACAAGAAAGAAGCAGTCCCACTACATGTCCAAGTAATATCAAGCGGTGTTAACTGGCAAAACCATCCTACCGATTCAAAAATTACTGAAGATAACTAGAATATTCACACTAGCCTCATATTTCAGGTATGCAATGAATTGTTGAGTTTCATTGACGTCATTTCAATGACCAAGTTTTACTAACTCATTACTATGTTCCTAATAATAGTTAGAGGAAATATAACTGAAGGTATTTCAGTTCAGCGTCCTTGTGCAAGTGTACACACTACACAAGAAATAAAACATCTTCAGAGGCATTTGTATTGACTCGAAAAGAGAAGCGGAAAGCACTAATCAATAGGTGAGAACCTAGGTTAGTTGTTAGGCAGATCTTCCAAAATAAGTTTTGGTGCAACCAAAACTTGATTTTGTTCTACTACTCAGCGACGCAAGTAAGACCTTATGTTAATGAACATAACATTATTTTTTCTCTTCCACTTCATCTGTGGAATAGCTTCTGAAGCAAATGAAGAAATGGTAAACTAGTCCTGGAGATAGTGCAGGGAGGATACAGAGGGACAATGTCCCAAAATGAGCGAAATATCATCCATCCTAACACTTAACTTAGTTATTGACAATTTAAGATTTAACGACAATAGGTGACAAAGTATGGATGAATAATGCTTCCCTAAGACGAGGGAAAAATCATCCTTCCACTTTCAACTTTACATATGCCACAACCACAGACAGTCACAAATTCAGATCTGTGATTGTTAAATGAAACCAGTTCTTACAGAACTGTAGCATATAAAGGTCAACAGCTACTCTGACGCCTAAACATATTCCCTATTTGTAACAATCAAACTATTATTAAAAAGAAAATAGACAGGTAATAAAACATAAAACGTTAGCAAAACCGAATTAACCAATGTACAAATAGAATTACCGATTTCCTAGACACGTCTTCATTATTAAAAATTATGATGAGAAGATAAGACCCTAGAAGAAAAACATGGCGGACCAATAAACAACAGATGGCGGTTGCAATAAGACCTTGGCCTTCACACTTGAGGCACAAAAACAAAAATGGTTAACTATTGTACATTTAAAGACAAAAAGAGATGTATTTAATCTCTCCTCAGATGATGAAATTCATGAGGAGGGAATCTGTTTAACATTTACACGTTACCAGTAGTTCTGAAATAAGTCGAAGTTCGAAAAATCATATGACTTTCAGAGAAATCATGTAACAGAATATATATATATATATCCAATAAATAATACTGTTTCACTGTGTGATATATCTAATAAACAAACTAATATGGAAGAATATATGTATTAATACTGCAGATAACCTCGGTGGTGAAAGATTGTTTCCACATCAAATGTGCCGACAAAAAATTACAAAAAGCACTGTGACACAAAGAATTTTGGACTTGGAAGCATGATTATTCAAAACCACACTCGGTTAAGTTGACTTTTTTATTTCCACCTTCTAGCGTTAGGCAATTAATGACTAAGAATGGTAAAGGTATGCTCCGGGAAGACTTCTGAGACCAAAAAAGTGGCACAGAAATTGTTTTATCTGAGGAAATTGTGGTTATTTAAATGTGATTAATGCTGACTCATGACACTTCCCATGTAAGTAATACGACGAGTTATGTAGACAGTCTCACCGATAAGATTATAACTCCTTAGACACATACGCTTCTGTGAGAAGGGCGAAAAACGATATTCAACTTTTTGCCACATGTCTCACACTTTAATCTGAAGTTGACAGTTATCCATACGTCTACTGTCTTTATTCTGGTTTCACCGAGCGAACTTTGGAAAGGGAGTGGATTTTGCCTGCTCTTCTTTAATTCTGACTTTTGATGTGTTATATGCTCCAAAAGTTTATAGGTTAACTTTAAATCAGTTTCATCTGGTCGAAGTTAGTTTACGTTTTAGTTTTGAGTCTATTTAATCATAGGAAATTGTGTTCTTATAACTAAATAGATATATATTTCCATTTTTGTGCACTCAATGGTTTTTCTTCTAACTGATTTAAAAAGGTCATGTGTATAAGTCATGTTTGAATCATTTTGTTCCGATTCGCCCTGAAAAGTACGTGTATCAAAAGGAGTCGCTGTGGAAGGGCTATGTGCCAACTCCTGCAACACGCAAACTTTGCTGCAAACCTCTGACAAACTGGCTGTGCATTGATTGCTGTAGTACGACTAAGTTTCGTATGACGGAAGCCATTGCCACTCTCAGTGGGGCTCTAAAACTCCTGGAATGCAACGGCTTCACCACAGGAGAAGATAAACTACTACTCATACACCGACTATGTGACTCGCGTCATCGACAAAACAATACACGTTCCTGATGCGTCCCTATCAGGAAGTGAGTGACCTTCAGCACAGAAGAGCACCCACCATATTCCAGACACCCATACTGCCCCTACGACGTCAGACAAGTCCTCCAGTGGCAATAATGAAAAGACTGGCACGAAGAAGAGAAGTACCAGGGGTCGAAAACCCGCAGTTCAATTCTCCCAGGGACTGGTAGATTAAGCCTCCTCCACACTAGTGGATAGCGGGCAGATAAAATTGACTATGATAAGCGAGGAGGACTCCAATGAATAGCATAATGTAGCCTCTCGCGAAAAGCGAGATAAGGACAACACACTGCACACGAGGGCAGAAAGACATTCACGCCGCAGAGCAAGAAAACCATGGCAAGCAAGCCTGATCTCTCTGACAGGTCGCTCATTCTCTACAAGGTGTAAGAACCACCGGCCTTCGATCTCAAGGTCACGTTCGAGCATGATCTTAACTTGGACAAGATAAGCTACCTCCGGAAACAGTATCAGGTATAACAATACACAGCGTACATAGAATTGGCCAAAAGCCTGACTCTGCAGTAAATCAGCCTGTACGCCCCCCTAAAGTTGAAGTAAACTCCAAAGGAGAGAGGGATGTCACTCTAAGCACCTCACAGGCTCTTAAGGGATCAGGCATATACGTCTGTCCCAAGGAGTTGGAAACATTGTCCCCTTGGATAAACCACGAGATTCGTAAGCTGCTGAGATGCAAACACAAACGCTGGAACCTGTTTGCCACACTTGAGACTCCTGAGACCAGGAAATTATACAACACTGCTAGGGACAAAGCTATAACAGAAATCCATCAATCAAGAATGCAGTTCGAATACATCGGGCTCAAAATGCAAAGGCATGCACTAAGAAAATTGTATTGTACATGAACTTCAGGAATGATAGATGTCGTAGTTTTCTATTACTAGTTTTGTGTCAGGTACGTCAGTAGTAAGCCAGGTTTCAGTCACCATTAATAGTGTTGGCCGTTCTATGTGTGCCAGGCAGCGAAGCGATGTTATTTTAATGAGGAGAGATCTCGCACTCAGGAGCATAGTCGTTTGTAAACCAGAGTTATTGGAGGAGAGGTTAACATGTTTACTTGTTACTATCCCGACGTTATGTTTGGAGGGGCTCTGAGGTGAGACAGAGTCAGTGTGTGTACTATTTTCTGGATGAATTGTGCAGCGAGTGGGGCTATTGTTTGCGGCACCCAAAAATAATCCTGTTGCATATTTCGGCTTTTAGCATCCATGGGTGGGCATCTGCGTTCATTTACTGGTGATATATAGCTTGCCTTGCAATTTGCGTTGTAGTTTGCTAGACCCAGGTACTCTGTGCTAAGATTACCTTGGTCGTTGTACCTCATGGGGCTTTCATAGTCGTATGCATATTGGCTCACATCACGTGTGTGAGTGAAGTTATTGAGGGGATCGAGTGTCGATCTGTACTCATTATGTTGATGAGGTTTAACATAGATAGTGTGAGAGTTTGGACGAGAATTTTCATTAATGTGGTGCCCGTTTAGTGTTCCATGTATCCTGATGGTCCATCCTAAGTTGTATTCCCAAGTTATGTGCGTTGCTAGGCATGTTACTCCTAGTTCGGGAAGGGGTATTCTTACTCACATGCTGCATGTTGTTTTGGGGAATATGCTTTGTTACTCATGCATTGTCATTTTTTAGACTGATATGCTGCTTATTAGGTTTATTACGAGGGAGGTATGTTGAAGTCTGGAGAGGGACTCTGGGCTTTGTGGCCTTTCTTGCAGTTTTTACTGTGGGACTCTCTGGCTTGGATCCAGACTGAGTGTGGTCTGCCAGTGGTTTCTGGTCAGCCATGGTTTGTGCGTCAATGCCAACCTCATGTAGGTCAGCAGATTTCCCAGATGTGTTCTCATATACTTTAAGATTGCACCCAGTGACACTGCTCTTACTGAGTTTCGGGTCGCTTTTACTTGCCGTTTTTTCTCCCAACACTATACAGGTGACTTGCTGTGCTTCAGTGTCCGTCGACACTTTAGCACTGATACCAGATGTATTTCCCAGTGTGGTCGACTTTGTATCGAAGGAGTTCTTGGTTGCTTGCCTTTGGTTAGGTGTTTTGTCGGAGACTACTTTAATAGTCTTGAATTTAGTGGCAGTAGCCAGGAGATCTTCGGCCTTCTTAAGTCGTTCAGCTACGATGTAGCTGTCGAAGAGTATAGGACAAGGATGCTTTAGGTCCTTTTTACTTAGGCGAATGCACTGACAAGGTGCACTCAAGAGATTTGCGGCCTTCAGCAATGAGTGCTGGACCGACTTTATGGGCTCGCTATCTAGTACATTATACACTATAGCGTTTTGTTTCAAAGCCAGCCTTTTAACAACTTCGCTGGATACAAAGTCAACGGCGTTTTCTAACTCCTTCGCATTTTCTGAGTCAGTAGGCGTCATTCTAGAAGTCATATTAAAAAGCTTTAGGATTGTAGGATCCTGCGGTTCCTTTCACATAAGTGAGATAGTTTCGGGTATACATTCTAGTGAACTTAATTTCGTTTTTAATTCATCTATCTGTAGCTGCATCTCTTTAATTATGCATGTTAAGTAAGAGAGCTCTACCTTTTCAGACAGAACATCTTCCACCTGTATTACAGGGGTCAGAGTTACGTTCGAGTCTTTTATGTTGGGTGAACTACTAATAATAATGGGTGGTTATGTGTTATCAGACGAGCTGGTGCTATTTTCTAAATTACTGTTGTTCGCACGAACACGCTTTTTAGAATTTTGGCCCATCTTTACTAAAGATCAAGTAACAGTAAGCAATAAATGAATATAAACGTAAACACGTGCAAACGTGTCACCTGATTCGAATGCACCGGGCGAATAACTTTGCTACATGACGTTCATTTTTCGTTTTTAATTGCCAAGTAAAGGTGGATATCCCCAGGAGTTTCTTGATAAAAAGATTAAATTGTCGCCAAAGTAAGTAAATATGTTCATATCTAGGAAATACTTAGATTTAGAGTTGATTTTTCTACTAACACAACACCAGCTGACTCACCAATTACAGTCACAAAGTAAAACTAGATCTACTGAAGACAGTGTGCTCCTGACTTCTAGATATCGTAGTTTACCGTGGAGGAAGGACTATATCCATAGGTTAATAAGATTAAACGGATGATATTAGTTCAAAACCAGGGAACTACTATTCGAAGCCACAGATCACACCACGTTACAATCTATTCCTTTAATCGTGCCGATCAATGTGACATCAGTTAAGACTAGAGAAAGAATACCACTAGCTTTAAGAAAATCAATTTGTCTTCATTAATACTATGTTATTTTAATGATATATTCTTACTTCTGTACATGAGAAACGCCAGTTTACAGTCATCATCAGTATGATAAATCGCATATACGATTAGTAAGCATATTTAGTAATGATAATATAATAAGTTACATATTATGTGGAGCCAGGTACGTCGGCCGTACCCAGCGTTTGCTATCCAAACGAATCAGCGAACACTTACTTTCATGGTTTTATAAAGGAGAAAGGAGATCCCCCCACCACAGCTCTATCCTAGAACACTTGATCGAATCCGGACACCAAGCAAACCCACAAAACAACTTCTCAGTTATCTACACAATACGTGGGAATCTTGCCAAAAGAGTACGAATTAAACTTCTTCAAACTGCAGAAGCA